TTTACAAGATTTTTCTGCAACAAAACGCCGGAATGACTTTTTGTTTTGCTCAAAATGTGAAACAAACGTGATATTTACATTTTGGCTGAAGGTAAAAGGCTTTTATTTTGTTAAGCTATTTAAATTTTGTGGAGTTTTTCTAAGAACCGCCAGAACAACTCACAACTTTCATTTTATTTTACTCAAAACACGAAATAAACTTTAAATTTACGTCTTAAGAACATAATCAGCTGAAGATGAGGTTTTATTTTGTTAAATGACTTCAATTTAAGGTTTTCTGGACGTTTTGCAGGCTGTAGCCACAAAACTGCTGGAACGACTTTTTATTTTGCTCAAAATGTGAAACAAACTTGATATTTACATGTTAGCTGAAGGTAAAAGGCTTTTATTTTGTTAAATTATTTAAATGTATGTTTTTGCTGCATTTAAGGGTTTATTTTGTGGAGTTTTCGTAAGATTTTGCGATTTTTCAAATAATGCAGCCGCCAGAACGACGATTTATTTTTGCTACAGAACATCTACAGAACAAAACCAGCTGAAGATGAAGAGGTTTCATTTAATTAACTGACTTAACGTTATGGTTTGTTTCATTTCATTTTGTATTTTGTGGGAATTTTGCAAAATCTTTTGCCACAAAACTGCCAAAACGCCTCAAAACTTATTTTATTTTGCACTAAATGTGAAACAAACTTGATATTTCTGTTTGAAGAACCTCAGTGGCTAAAGGTAAAAGGATTTTGTGTTCCGTTAAATGACTTAAATTTATGGTTTTCTGGAAGTTTTGCAGGAGTTTTCTCAACAGAACATCTGACTGCTCACATTTTGTTTTGCAGAAAATACAAAAACTTTATATTTACATTTTAGGAACATAATTAGCTGAAGATAAAAAGATGTTATATAGTAAACTGACTTATAATTTAGGGTTTTGATGCATTTAATTGATTATTTTGGGGAAATTTTGCAAGATTTAGTATTTTTTCAGCAACAGAACCAGCATAGCTAGCATCTAGCTTTAGTTTATTTTGCTTAAAATACACAACAAACCTGATATTTACATTTTAAGGACAAAAACAGCTGAAGGTAAAAGGATTTTCTGGAGTTAACTGAGTTGAATTTGTGGTTTTGCTTCATTTAAGTGTTTATTTTGTGGAGATTTTGTGAGTTTTTGTCAGAACCACTCACTACTTTAAAAAACAAACTCCACATTTAAGTTTTAAATCCTAATGAATGAACAGACTTGCTGGTAACAAACCACAGAAACTACAGAGTTCCAGGCTTTAGAGGTTGTAGGACACTTTAATAGAAGCGTCTGGATAAACTGGACGTGATTCTGTCGTCGGTTTACGACAAAAGTCTGAAATCAAACCGACTCCAGCGGCCTCGAGGTCTGAGTCCATCTGCTGCCGGTGGAGCTCTGGAGGGTTTAAAGCTTTAAACCAGTGGAAGAAAACAAAAAGGCTTCCAACCGGTTCTTCTTCAGACGTTTCACCATCCTTTAACGAGAATCCTAAAATGAGCTGAAATCTGTCAGGACTGGGTTTGAGGCGGGTCAGATGTTCTGGAGGATTTCTGACATACTTGAGCTGGAGGTCGGAGGTCGGCGCTGCTGCTGCCGCGGAGCCTCGAGCGACGACGTCGACGCCATAAAAACGTCAAACCGCTCTGACGTGTTCTGGAGACGATGAGAGACGACAATTAATGAAACAACAACAGCCCGGAGGTCCTCTTTGTGTTCTTTTGTGTCGGCGTGTTCGTCTCACAGAGCTGCTTTGTCTCAACAACAGGAACTAGACGGAAGCAGAAGTCTGTCAGGTTCAGTCCGTTTGGTTCTAATTGGTTCTTCGTTTGTGCGTTTTTATTGCAGTTATAAGAATGTTTGAGTTCAGCTGCAGGTCTACGTGATTTAAAAGCTGTTTCTGGTCGAGTGACGTCACGTTGAATCAGATTTATCAGCAAATTCACGGAGAAGACGACGAGCGTCGACTTGGAGAAAACAGACGAATCTAAAAGACGAGTTTAGTCGAGTTTCTTCAACTCGTGTCTCGAATCAGAACAAATAAATCAGAACTAATGACGTTTGGACTCGGCTGCGTTGTCTTCAGGTTTTTCTCGTGCATTGAGTTAAACAGGCGACGGTTTGGCTGATAATCCTCTGAGTCTTTCAGCAGAGGAAGAAACGACTAGTTTGTAGAGTTGCTCAACCTCCAGCAGGTGGTTCAGGAGGACCAGAAACAGGATCAGCATCGACTCAAAACCAGAAATCCAGCTGAAGAAGAACATTTCTGGCAAAACGAGGAGCTGAAATACTATTAAAATGTATTAATTAAATGTTTTTTGGGTGTTTTTGTGCCAAAATAAAATTAGATTATAATTTACAAATTGGATAAAATCGTATTTGTGACTGAAAATGTGGTTAAATTGGAACTAAAGATTATAAATGACGGTATTGTCACAGATAATAAGCAGCATTTCTGTAGATAAACTCTCAGATCTCGCTGCTGTTCTGTTTCTCTCCTGCAGGATTTAGTCGTTTCTACATTTATGTCGTTGAAGAACTCGGTTTGTTAAATGTTGTCGGTGGTTTCTGTCATGAACGTGGTGGAGATGGTGGATGAAGAGCTTCAGACGTCTCACTTTAACGTCTGTGATCTGTTTCTGTGGGTTCATAATGATCCAGGAAGTCGACAAAATGTTGGATTTAGAGGCGAAGCTGACTGTGGACGCCTTCAGCTCGCTCAGTCTCCGTATCGTTTAGATTCAGCTGCAGATGATTAATTCTTATTTTTCTGTGATTTAGTTCAAGAACAGCTCATTGGTTTGTGCCTCTGAGCTTCTTCTTCTCCTGCAGTGAGATTTAAACAAAGTTTTTCTTCATATTTATTCAACAGGGCGTCTCGTCTTTGCTCTAGAAGCTGAACTCAGTCTGTTCTGTCAGGTTGAAGTTTCCCGTCAGCCAGAGGAGCTCCAGAGTTCATCGTTGACCTCAGCCCTCCTGGTTCCAGTTCTTGCGGCAGCGACGACTCCGATGGCGGTCCGGTTGAAGCCGAGGCTCCTCCTGCTGAGCCTGGTTCTGCTGCTGCTGCTGGTGGATCCGAGCGGCGGGGCCTCGCCTCTGGGCCTGACGGTCCACGTGGTTCCTCAGGACGGCGACGGAGGACAGACGGTGGGCGTTCAGTCCTTCATGTGTGATTCTGTGTCTCAGATGAAGCAGTGAACTCATACAGACGGTTTAATGTCGTTTAGAGGTTCGTTCATCACCTGATGTCTCATCGGTGTCGTTTCTCTCCAAAGATTCTTATTTTTTATGAGCTTTCCAGGTTTATAATTCATTTGATTGTGATTTTATTCATCAAACAGCCTCATTAGTCCGTTATTAAAACGTTTAATTAAAGCTAATTAAATGTGTTTAGGATTCATGACTGTCAGTTAGATTTAATAATAATCTTGTTTTTCTCTGGAACATTCACAGTCTGAAGGTAGAACTCTGGGCAGGAGGTGAAGGTTCTGCAGATACAGAACCAGATGTTCTGAGGAGGTTCTGGTGGAGCCTGCGGTGTTTGATTCGTCCTCCAGTCAGACCGTTTTATGTTCTGTTCCTGTTCTGGCTGCAGGTCCGAGCCCACTTCACCGCCATCGCCGCCGGTTCCTGTCCGTCTCTGTCCGGACTCTGTTCTGATGGAGACGACTGTCTGGTTCACGCCACCTCGTTCCCGTTTAACGGAACCAGGCCCGGTTCCGGCTGGTGCGTCCGTCAGTGGCAGAAGACTGTGAGCAGCAGCTACAGAGCCAACGTCAGCTTAGGGTACGAACACCTGAAGCTTCTGTGTCTGGTTCAGCAGGTAGATGTCTGACAGCAGAAGGTTCTGGAAGGTTCTGCAAATGTTCATCAATCGATCAGATTGATCTTCAGAGACATTTTCATACAAGTGGAATGTAACACAAAGAGCAGTTCACAGAATAAAACAACACAAACATCAAGTTATAGGTGAAAGATTCTAAACAGACTGAAGGAAGACGGTCCAACATTTGTTTGTTTGTTTGTTTGTTTACTTAGAAGGATCCCGTTAGCCGAGGCCAAGACGTCAGCTCGTCTTCCTGCGGTCCAGACAATAAAATATTACAGTAAAAACATTACACCTGCAGATGAGATTAAATAAAAATAAACTAGAATACAGCACAATAATATATATGTCATTTAATATATATCAATATAATTAAAGTTAATTTAATGAAATAGATCAGATAAATAAAATAATCACAATTTAATTTAAATTTGAATAAAATTATTTAAAAAAATAAAATAAAACACAATTAAATGAAATAAGATAAAATAAATTAAATTTAAATAAAATAAAGTTAAAATTAAATTAAAATCTAACAAAATAAAATAAAATAAGATCAAATTAAATTAAGTTAAATTACATAAGATAAGTTAAATAAAATAAAAATAATTGAAATAAATTGAAATTCAAATAAAATAAAATAAGATTAAATTGAATAAAGTAAAACTCAAACAAAATTAAATAAAACAAGATCCAATAAAATAAGACAGAATAAAATAAAAATGAAATAAAATATCTATTAATAAAATATAGTTGCATCGACAGGCGAGAAGTTAGAAGTCCTGAAAACAGAATAAGAATGTTTTCTTTTTTTAAACTAAATGAAGCAATAAATGACAAAAAAGTGAATAAATGAGAACTCAGTGAAGACATTTTGCTGATATTCATCATTTTTATCTTTATTTTCCTCCCAAACATCAACACATGATGCAGCATAAAATCATTAATCATCTTTATCTCTGTTATTACTAAAGAGGTTAACGTCACGTTTCTACGTCTGTCAGACGACCAGCTTTAACAAAAAGCTTTATGATGTTTGTTCGGAGCTTCTTCCTTCCTGGTTCCACCTCCAGACTTTTCTTCTTCCTCGTGTTTCTCACCTTTCGCTGACCTCCGACCTGCTTTGTTTTTGTGCACGTTTCAGGTCGGACACTGAGTTTTACGTGTCAGTGAACGCACCGCCGAAGGTCCGAGCAAACAGCGGGAGGCTGAACCAGCCGGCCTTCGTCGCTCTTCCTCCTCCGCTCAGGTAACAGAACAGGAGCTGCTCATGATGCATAAAGAACCAAGACAATAAGAATTCACAGATCCTTAAACGCTCCTGAACTGAGTCGAGCAGAAGCTTCAAACACTTCCTGGTTTATAAAACGACGCCTTAAATAAGATCAAATTCATGTTTTTACATTAAATAGAAAAAAAGCTAATAAATCAAGAACTCAGTGAATCATGTGAAGCAGACTTTACGTCCCACAGATCAGCTGTTTTGGTTTCGGTTCCTGCTGATGTGAAGCTCTGATCACTTCCTGCTCTGTCGTCCAATCAGAGCGCGCGTCGGCTGCCCGCATCACTTCCACCTGTCGGTCAAAGACCTGGACGGAGACAAGGTCCAGTGTCGCTTCGCTCGGCCGCAAAGTGGAGAATGTTTGAACTGTGAGCAGCATCCGTTCATCGAGCTGGACCAGGTGACCATCCGCCAACGTTCATGCAACGTGTTTTCAACATTTACAGATGATTTAACAACATTTAAAGATTATTTAAGGTGGTTTATAGATGATTTAACAACATTTATAGATGATTTAACAACATTTAAAGATGATTGAAGGTGGTTTATAGAAGATTTAGCAACGTTTATAGATGATTTAAGGTGGTTTATAGATATTTAACAACATTTAAAGATGATAGAACACCATTTCCTCCTCAGTCAAGGAATCTGGATCATGTTTTATAATCTGACACTCAGCAGTTTGTTAACTTCCTCATTTCTCTGCAGCTGAACCGTGTCAAAGTTCAGAAACCTGCTTTTCCAGAAGCAAAGCTCCAGTTAAATGAATGGTTCAGTAGACTCAGTAGAACGGATCCTGCAGCAAACACTGGCTGCTGATCGGTGTGTTTGAAGAGAACCTAGCTCCTCCTCAGACGTCTCTTCTTGAGCTTTGACGTTGTGTCGGCCTGAACTGTGTCTCCAGGAGAAGTGCACGTTGTTCTTCACTGGGAAGGCGGCTGCTGGTCAGTACCTCGTCTACCTGATGGCTGAAGATCTGATTCCCGTCCCTAAGATCAGCCACGTCACCGACAACTCTCCGCTCAGCTCCGTGCCCGTCCACCTCTCTCTGACCGGTGAGTCTCCATCTCGGCCGTTTGGCCTCAAATAACAAGAACCTGCCGTAGAACCCAGCAGTCTGATGCGTGACCTGGCGTTTCAGTGGAGGAGTCGCCGACCAGCTGCAGCGACGAGCCGCTGGCCGCCGCCGACAGCCCTGCAGAGGACTCGGTGCTGTTCGTCCTGCCCTACGAGCAGATCAAGTTCAACATCAACTACCTGTCGGAGGAGGAGACGTGAGTTAAAGTCTTTGACCTCAGAGCGGTGCTGGTCCGGTGCTCCAGGCTGGTGTTTACGGTGTGATACTGATGGTTCTGGTTCACTTCAACCTGATTGGTTCAGAGAGTCTTCATTGATTACAGCTGGAACCTCACCTCCACCAGACGGCACATCCACAGACACCAGACTAAAAACAGACGATCCATCTGGACTCAGACCAACTGGTTCCAGCAGATCCAAGTGACTGGATGGATCCAGTAGAGGACACGATTAAATTATTGGTCCTTGTTTGAAGTTTGAAGTGCAAAATGTTCGAACTTTGGTGGTATCATGTCTCCAGGAAGTTCCTGTCAGTGTCTGTCTATGGATGGATCCATGGTTCTACTAGAACCCAGTCTCTGGTCACATTTCACCAACTGTTGAGGCTCTAACATCAGTAGAACCTGATGTGGTGAAGTTGGACCAGACAAGGTTCTGGTTTTTGTTGTTTCAAACACATCAAAATGTCAACATGAGTCCATCTGGACAAGATTTGTGTTATTTTTGACAAATTCTGAGTCATTCTGGACCATGTTTAGATTATTTTGGACCATTTAAAAGTCATTCTGGACCATGTTTAGAATATTTTGGACCATTTTTAAGTCATTCTGGACCATGTTTAGAATATTTTGGACACAGACGAATAGTTTCCAGCAGCTCTAAGTCACTAAATGGATCCAGCAGAGGACACATTTTTAATTATTTGTCCTTGAAAACTTAAGAAAGTGCCAAAGACCGACCAGACACCAGATCCACAGATGCCAGATGACATACAGACGATCCTGTTGGTGGTAACGAGCTCCTAACCAGCCAGCTCAGCCCGTCCACAGACCTGTGTCATGGAAAGTGCTCCAGGTAACGTAGTGTCATGAGCCGTCAGCCAACACAATGAGAAACGTCCTCCAACATTGTCCCAGTGGAATGAAAACGTACCAGATGTGAACACAAAGCCCAGCTTCACCTGATAGACGGTTCAATCGCTGCAGGGCTCATGACAGTCGTGACGCTCCATTGTTCATACGTGTCGAGCGTTTTGTACGTGTGAAGCAGTGAACAGAAGGGATTCCTGCTGCCTTGCTCGGGGGTCAATCTGTGTGAGTTCAGACAGCGGCGTTGCTCCACCGCCTCAGGTTCTGTTCACTTTTTGGTTATTCAGGACACAAACTTAAATTCTATAAAATATTTTGGCAGATTTTTGAGGATTTCTTGTTTTTCATGTGAATTTTTGTGTTTTCATCAAAAAAACCCCAAAAAACCTGTGAAGCCATTTTAAGGGTTCGATATCTCCAGAAGTTTAACTCCAACAGCCACGAAGTGTAACGAGGACACAGACAGAAGAGCTTCTGTTAGATCTAAATGATTGGATGGATCCAGCAGAGGACACATGTTTAATTATTGGTCCCTAAAAATAAGCTTTATGACTGAACCCAGGTCGGTGTTGATCCCCAGAGAGTTCCTGTCAGTGTCTGTCTATAGATGGATCCATGGTTCTACTAGAATCCAGTCTCTGGTCACATTTCACCAACTGTTGAGGCTCTAACATCAGTAGAACCTGATGAGGTGAAGTTGGACCAGACAAGGTTCTGATTTTAGATCTTTAGACTAAATGTTGATCACTGGTAGGAACCAGAACCTGGACTTCACAGGTTCTAGATGTTGGTTTATATGAGCTACAAGCTGCTCCATGTTGATTTGTGTTTAATTTACCAACATGAGGCTGATTCTGAATCACTAAATGTTCCTAAACTTGATATTTTCACACATGTCACGATGAAGCTCATGTTTCTTGAACCACATGTCGACACTGAACCAGAGGAAACGGACTCACAGTTGGTTTATTTGCTGTGATGGAATTCCAGCGTCTCTGTTGATCTTCAGGTCCAGTTTTCAGCGTTTTCTGGTCCTCCTGGTGGTTTACGGGGACCTGAAGTGAACTGTCACAGCTGTTAAAGTGGATATTGAAGGTTTCTCCGTCTGTATTTCCAGTGTTTCGGAGGTGGCGCTGGTCGGACCTCCTGGACTCTACCGCACCGGCTTCACGTCGGTCGGTCCTCTGGCTGCCATAACCGTGGCCTGGACCCGGTCCGAGAACAAGCTGGCTCGACTGCTGCCGGTCTGCTTCGCTGCCAACACCAACAGGTCTGGACTTACCTCAGTACATGTACTGGTGTGGTGAACTGGACCGAGTGAGCTGGTCTGAAACACGAGCGACTGTTTACAAAGATAAATCTGTCAGTTTAATGACGTCTAAGGTGGCCTCAGGAAGTCCTGACCTTCTCTCTATAATCTGAAACCGAACACTTCTTTATTCCAGAATGTCCGAGATGTTTCTCTTCAGGAATTTTATCGTAGTCGATCCTGAAACTACATAAAATAAGTCTGTGAGCAGAATTTAACTGAAGTTTCCAAAAACAAGATGTAACTTAAGATTTGAGATTAATTTGGAAAATGTCGTCATGATACTTAACAGAGTGATTAATGCACAAAGACGGTCCTCCTTTCCAGTATAAGTGTAGAATAGGAGGTACATGTTGTACCTTCAGCCCTTCCCTCTGCCTCCGCTCTGTCAACACCAGCCCTATGTCTGCATTTGCACATCATCTCTGCTGTATGTTTAGCTGCTGAAGTGGTCTGATCTGCACTTCTTGTCTTTCCAGTTTGCAGTCGGAGCCCCGGTGTGTGTGGTTGTACCAAAGTAAGGCTTTAGCGTCATAAGAATGATTGTTATGTGCTGCTGCAGCTCACAGGGAAGCAAACCACTAAAACGCACCTCTGTTCATGTTTTCAGGGGAGATGAAGGCGCTGCCGACGGGAACAGGTAGGCGGCGCGTCCTGGAACGTTGTTGGGGGGTAACACTGTGCACGATGATTTTATTCACACTGTGCTGTTGTGTGGCTGCAGAGTTGAAGTGCGGCAAGTCGGAGATGACGCTGGTGCTGCCCGTCACCTCCCTGAGCGAGATCAACCTGGCCGAGCTGCAGCTCAACAGCCCCACCTGCCCCGTCAGCTACAACAGCACTCACCTGACCGCCAGCATCCCACTGAGCGGCTGCGGAACCAAGACTGTGGTAACGTGAAACATTTCTAACGCATCCTGACATGCACCAGGCAGAGCTAGCTTTGTATTCTCTTCTTGATGTCAGTAAATGTACCATAGACC